ATCCTCCTACCATTGCCGGGGAGCAGCCCTTCAGAGTGGCCACCGCGTCTGGTGCTGCTCTCCAGCACCCCCTCCGTGCCCACCCCGGCACTGATCACCGCCAGGGCTTGCGAAGTGGGGGAGTTGCAGGAGACAAGGATGCTTAATTACAGAGCAGCCCTGGAAACCAGCAACGGCAGCAGCACTGTGGCCAGGAGGGGAGGCAGCAGGGCTGTAAATAGAAATTGCGGAGGCAGCCACGGGGAACAGAGTGAGGGAGGCTTCTGCGCCTGCATCGCTTCGTCTCCCTCCCTTCCCCTCAGCTTCTCTCACCTCTCCTGGCCACCCTGGCTCCCAGCATGAACTGGCATGTGACAAGCAGCCCCAAAGCGTGGCTGGGAGGCAGCAGCTCCAGAGGCAAAACAGCCACTCCAGGCAGAGAAGTGGGGGTGTGAGGCCCCAGCAGCCTCCTCCATCAGCGGCCACCTCCCATGGAAATGCATGAGGAGGGTCAAAAGACCACTTTGGCCAGTGAGGAGACCAGGGCGAGATGGACGTGGGGCCAAATTGCCCCGCCTACCCCCCCCCGCCAGAGGAGGCTGTGGGATGCCAGATGTCTCAGCCCCCATCCCACTGGGGTCTGCCCAGGGTGAAGTCCCTCTCGTCCCACCCTGACATCTCCATTACGGCCTCTTCCACAGCAGCAAGAGCTCTGCTTTCAGTATTTTGCAAAGGTTTATTTAAAAATGTTGAAACTAACATCCCACAAGAATTGAATATTTCACCACGAGGAGAAGAGAAATCCTACAAAAATATATATCACAGCGCACAAGGGCAGGGGAGAGGGAAGAGCGAGACTGAGCAGGGAAGCAGGAGGGAGGACGGAGGGGAGGATGGGAGCCGTGGCAGAACGAGACCAAATGGCAAAGGGAGAACAAGAGAGGAGTGGGGAAAGCGAAACAGCAGGAGGGGAGAGATAACCGGGAGGGAGACCATGGTACGGGACAGGAGTGGGAAGCAGGAAAACAGTGGGAGAGGGAAAACAACAGGAAAAAAGGAGTAGAGAGCCGGCAGTCGGTGAAGGAAGGGGGCCCCCCTCTATGGTCTTGCCAAGGTAGGGTGAGGACTACAGTGAGACATCAGCGGGGGTGCAACTGGGGAGCTGGAATTCGGCCCAGGGCTTTTGTGCTGCAGGACTCGGCTCTAAGGCTGTGCCATAGATGTGGTTTGTCGGAGTGAAAGAACAAAACCACAGTTTAATTCAGAACAGTCTGAAGTGTTTGAGAACTTGTGGGGAATGAACAAACCACAATGAACAAATCCTTTCCAAGCATTTTTCCTTATCGGGAAAGGGAGTGAGTAATGAAGAGACCAGATTTGCAAGGGCACTTAGGTGCCATTGAGGAAGAGGTAGATAGCCCTCTCTGAAGCTGTGGGATGCTTGGTTGGATGTGGGTCCCTGGAAATTGGACCGGAGGAGCCATGTGGAAGCACACACTGGAGGTCTGGTCCCCTGCCTACCAGTCGCAACCAACCAGATGGGAAAGCCCAAGCAGGATTTGGCCTTGTGGTCATGCCACTCTGCTGGGTAAACAGAGGGAGACTCCAGTTCCTGCTCCAAAACAATACAGGGCAGAGGGAAAAGATTCTCCCCCAGACCTTCTCTCCTTCCCAATGCGCTCACGGAGAGACCACTCTTGCGTTAACAAAGCCAGGACCCTCCTGGTTCCTTCAACTCACCCAGCACACCTGGATGTTCCCTTTTAATTGCACAGAAATGTTGGGCAGGCTCAGCCCAAGGCTACGGACATTTTCAGTCGGTTTCCCCGCACACCTTTCTGTCTGTAAAATTTCCACTGGAAAAAATTAATCTGGATCTTTCTCCTCCAGTCACCTAGAAGACAGGGAAACCTGATGGGCTGTGACTGAGAAGGGACTGGCCTCTGCCCTGACTTGGTACTTCGTGCTGTCAACCTGTCCGTGTGCGCATCTCACAGAATATCAGCTTGGGCCAGGGAAGAGACTGCAGGCATGCTCTGGCTCCAATCTGCGTAGGGGAAGATGGTTTATGAGGCTCCAGCCATGGAGAAAACAGATCCAGTGAGATTATTTATTGACTGGAAGCAGCTTGTATGTCCACACGTGTTTTGAATGTTTTGTTCCAGGGACAAAATGTAGCAATGAAAGTTTGGGCAGGACAATGAAGTTGTTTCCCATATCTAACCCGTTCTGTGTGAGAGAGTGAATGACTGTCATAAAATCATATTTGGCCAGAAAAATTGGTCTTGGAAAAGATGTTCAGCATATCTAAGCTTCTGTCATTGTATGAGTTTTCTCTACTGCATTCCCCAGCTTCCCCCTTACCACAGCATCTGTGAAAGGTTTCACTCCCTGGAGGTACTTTTAACAGAAACAGAGACACGTTAAAGGGAGGAAAAAAACCCACCGAAATCTGATTTGTTTGCAGAGTTTACAAAAGCCTGGCCAGCAGAGCGCAGGGCTTCCCTGCGTCAAGTGTTGGAAAATGTTTTCACTAGGCTTGCTGCGGTGCCCTGCCACTTTCTTACAGACCTTTTCTCCACGCAGCGTGTGGAAAGGGAAAGTCCAAGGACAGCCCTTGAAGTGGTAGAGTCTAAACTCTGGCCTTGTTTCAGCAAGTGCTATTGATCAAAGAGCAATCTAATTAATCTGGTCTGGAAGATTATTTAAACCAGTTCAAGGCATTATATTGTAAACTGCCAGCAATAAGCAGTGCAGTCTCTTGCAGGCTGCGTGCAGATGGCCTTCTCCAGTGCTGATGTGCCAGCGAGAGGGGGAGCAGCCCCGAGCTGCCCTCAGCTGGCGGGGGCAGTGGTGAGTGGGCCAGCAGGCAGGAACAGCCATCTGCCCCCTTCTCTGTCCATCCGCAGCTTGAATGTCCACCAAAGCCTTGAATGGAGCCTGAATAAGGAAAAGGCTCAGTAATAGATCAATCTACGGTAAAGCAATAATATCCCCTGCTATAAGCAGAGACTTAACCTGCACTTAGACTAGAGACCTCCAGAGTCCTTTTCCACCTACATCTTTCAGCCATTCTGGGCTTTTAATAAGTCAGTAATTTTATTTGACCTGTCATTTTCTCCAAATCGCTACTGTTTTTTGTGAAGCTTATTGCAATTTACACTCTTATTTAAATGTCCTTCGTGGTGAGTCACATGGGGCCAGAGCTCACCTAATAGTTCAGCTCGGTAAATGGGCAGAACCAGGCCTCTTATGAAACTCCCTGTGCTTTGTCCTATAAAGTAATAGGCTTTTACTGCAGAGATAAAGGATGAAAGGGCCATTTCCTTTTCTCCAAGATGACTTTTGTCAGAGACCTATGGTGCATTAGGGCCTTCAAATTGTGGGTGAGTTTCCTGTCTCCGGCCACATCAGTCCAGCAGCTGAAGGTGTTTGTACAGTATAGGGGCAACCTTACCTAAATCTGCACCATTTCAGCTCAGTGGCTGTCAATGTGGGGTCTGTGAATTACTTTGAAGGTGTCCACAAAAGCCAAGGGAGAGCAACTATTGTCATTAAGCTGAAATTTTCCATTTCACACTTTCTAAAAGTGACACCCATGGGTCCATACACAGGAAGAGGTTGAGACGCACTGATCTTGCTCAGACAAGTAGCTGACAATGTGGCTGCCTGCCCTACAGGCCGCCACAGCCTCAAAGTACATGCTCAGGCAACTGGTTTGCGCCAACACCTGTGCCATTGGTTTCGTCCCCAAGCAGCTGGGGCAATACACTTATAAAGGTTGGCACCCCAGGCATCCCCTCTCTCATGCCCTTGGTGAGCATTGCCTAGTGGGTCTCCAGTCACCTTGCATTCCAGGAGAGACCTACCAGTAGTACATGGCAACCCTCCAAATGTTTCCAAGGTCAACTCTAAATTGCTCTTTGTCATCCCAGGCACAGTCACACCTGTTGCTTGTTGCCTGTGGCATGTGTGTCTGAAAGCAATTCCCTACCTCAACCCGGCAAAACTCAAGTTCCTCATGCCCAGCTATATCTGCATGCCATGCTTTAGCTGCTTGGGCAGTATCCCAATGCACAGGACACTTGCTAAATAACATGATGGGCAGAGGGCTGCGCCTCAGATTTTTCTGAAGAACATCACCATAGGCTGATGTAATTCAGAAAAACCTTGCTGAAGGAGACTGAGGGGGTGGAGGGGGACAGCAAGGAGGCTTCCAAGAGATCAAAACATTTGGAAAGCTAAAGGAACCTTTTCCAACTTTAACTGGCAAGAGAAGTGGTGGGGGGAGGAACTGAGAGAAAAAATTGGGGATGGAGACATGAAGAAAGATACAAGCTGAAGAGAAAAAACAGAGGAGTGTTAGGCAGAAAGAAAATGGAAAGATGTGAATATCTTCCATCTAGGGGGTAGGTAATGTTTCCTTCAAGGAAAGGGGTTGCTGAGGGGGCCCAGGTGCTGGGTGAGCCTCTTCTGCCCAAGCTTCACCCACCCTTGGGACCCTTGGGAGGGCCAAGGCCTCGGGAACAGAAGAACCTGCCACCACCTGAGTCCCGGCTCAGGCAAGACCAAGCCCCGGTGGGCAATCCTGCAGCCACTGAACTCCAGATGTTCACTTCAAAGCACACGACACGGGAAGGGACACACAGATGGGTTAGGGCCCACAGGGACAGGGGTATGCCGTTCCACCTTGCCTACCCCCGACGTCAGGCATGCACTGGTGAGAGAGTCACGGAGATCAAAGTGTGTGTGTGTGTGTGTGTGTGTGCATGTGTGTCTAGAGGGGTGTGGGCGAAGAAAAGGTCCGGGGGCGGTCCCCAGCCTTCCCCCAGCAGGAGGCTAAGGAGGCCCAGCTCGTCCATTTGCCCAGGCACGTCCTGGTGGAGTGAGTTAATAATGGTGGTGGCGGGCCGTGGCACAAGGAGGTCGTTTTTTCCCGGGGTAGCAGAGGCGGCAGGAGTCTGCGCTCGCCGGCTGTGACAGGAGGGTGGGGGGAGCCAGCTCTGCTTCTCCCGTGAGCGTCACAGGTTCACCAGTGGGATTCTGGGGGGAAAAGGGAATCGGAAATTAATTAGCGACGGGCGCTTACGCCGCCCCACTGCCTCCGCTAGGTGACCAGCACTTTTGCCCTGCCTCAGCCTGCCTGTCGCCCTGTCCACCACCGCCCCCTCCCGCCCCGGTTCACCGGCCACTCACCGGTTGAGCTGGACAGCCGTGCTCTTCCCGTGGCCCCCCAGCTTCTCCACACCCTCCTGGCCCTGCCTGGACTCCTCCGCTTCAGGTGTGGGGGCCAGGGAGTCGCTGTAGGGCCCGAGGATGCTGACGGTGGTGGGGGAGAGGTCTGTGAGGGGCTGCTGGCTCTCCTGCTGCCTCCCACCGCTCTGCTGCCCCGAGTGACGCCGGCGTTTCTGATTACGGTCCCAGCTTTGGAGAGAGACAAGGGGTGAGGTAAAGAGTGCACCCTCAGACAAGCCCCAGCCCTCGATGACAGAGAGGTCCGTGGGACCCTGCTATGCTCAGCGTTAAAGCCCAGCTTGGCCATGTGCCAAACCTTGCGAGGGCTTGCAGCAACCAGATCCGCACCCTTGGGACAAATAGGTCCCAAGCCCACAGTCCTCCTGCCCACCCACCTGCAGACACTGGCGTGGTGACAACCTCCATCGGCCCAAACCCACTCACCAGAACTTGAATATGATCCCAGTGGCGACCAGGACAATGATGATGGAGATGGTGATGGTGACATACAGCTGGGGGTCCACACCTGCGAGACAGAGAGGGAGAGGGGGGTGTGATGGCCACTCCCACCGGTCCCCAGAGAGCAGCAGTGCAAGGGGAGGTTCCTGCTGGGGCCCTCATGAATTTTGCAGAACAAGCTGCTCCTGCGGGGACAGGGGGGTGAAAGAAGCAAAGGGTGGATTTACCTTCCCCTCGGGGCCCAAACAAGAAGGGCCGCAGGGTGGCCGGGGTCTCGCGCAGGTTGAGCCCCGCGTTGTGCAGGAGCGAGTGGGAGTTGGGCTGTGCTGTTGCCATCCCATGTGGCGAGACAAAGGTGTATCCCAGTGGTGGGAAGCCCGGGTTGGCTGAGTTGGTGTCCCCTCCGTCCTCATCCGACACTGTGGGGCCCCACACGATGGCCCAGGGGTACTGGGAGGAGGGCATGCCGTCCTCAAATCCAGAGGGGGTGGCAGGGCGAGCCCCCGCCGCCTGGCGCCTCAGCCGCACAACGTGCCGCAGCTCTCCTCCCCGGGGGGGCAGGGCCCGCTGGCGCGGCAGGGTGAAGCGAGAATCCCTCTCCGGCAGTGAGGTCCTGTCCCAGATGCAAATGGGCCGTGGGGCCGAGGGGCTCCGACGGGTGCAAAGAGGCCGAGTAGCCGCCGGGCCCCGAGAGCGAAGAGACCAGACGCCAGGAGGAGGGACGGCTGAGACCAGGAGGAGGAGATGCCAAAGCTGCAGGGAGTGGATGCAGGAGACGAGTGGAGGCATCCTGCTGCGGGTTAGGGGGAGGAAGAAGAGAGCCTTATCTGAAACGTCCCTCCTGTTGAAAGGCCAAGCCCAAAGCAGCCGGGAGCAGCCCGCCACCCACTCTCCCGTAGTCTTCCCACGTCACTGGTGAATGTGGGAAGCTGTGAACCTACCAGGCACTGGGCTCCATCTCAGATGCAACAGCGTCTTTGCTCAGCGAGAATCCTGTCTCATCTTCTTCACTGGGAACCAAAAGGACGGGCGAGCTCCCAGCCCCAGCAGGCAGGGCAATGGGGGGGCAATGGGGCACCCGTGCACCCACATGTGCACCTGCTCCTGCTCTCATGCCCCCCATGCCTGCGTGCTCTTCCAGCACGGAGGTGCATCGTCCCCCTGACCCCAATGCTGTACAGAAACATGCGCGTTAGCATATGCACAGAAAAGCAAGGAGCAATCTCTGGAGCACACATGCAGAGGCACATGCGCAGCTTCCCCGGGGACTCTCCTGTCTGAGGGCCGAGAGGGGGATTCGGCATCTTTGTTTGCTTATCGCTGGAACAAGTTGGAATCTTAATTCCCGTGTTTATTTATAGTGTAGAGCGTGTAATCCATTTATTAAAAAAGAGCCTCTTCATTGTGTGCCAGAGTGAGGGAGCGAGAGGGGAAGCACGAGAGTGATAAACCAAGAAGACTGAGAAAGGGGGAGTGAATCAGCGAGAAAAGTGCAGCCTTACTAAAGAATTTAAGAGCAAAAATATGCCTATCAAATATTTAGCATTTACTTTCCTCTTAGCTAATATGGAATTACCTTCCCACACTCCTTGTCCTAGTGTCCTCTGCGCTGTCCCGTCCCTCCCTTTCTCCCCTATTCCTCCCCTTTCTCTCCCACCTCCCATGGCTGAGCAGCACTAGGCAGCAGCGGTAACACGAAGTAAGGGCTGGTCCCACCGGCTGGATTTCTGCACCGGCCGCACGCCACCCTCTGGCATCAGTCCGGCGGTAGCATGGCTGCCCTTCATGCTGTCTGCCCCTTCCCTTGGCTGGGCACAGCGCGGCACCAGCCCTTCCCTGGTGAGCTGTTATGTGCCTGACCCGGGATCGCCTCCGCAAAAAAGACCGCACGCGCGCGCACACACACACACACACAAAAAAAAAAGCATTCAAGATATTCAGCTCGCTCCTTCATCGTGAAGGGAAAGCATGAATGCCAACAACCCACGGTCATGCCCTTCTGTGGCTGCCGGGATGGAGAAACGAGGATGCTTGGCCGAGGGAATCAACGCAGAGTCCAACCCTGCACCTCCAGCCCCGAGCCAGCTGTGTTGCACCTCCCGGCTCCCAAGGGGTTACTGCCATCCTCTCCTGCTCAGCCCATGCCCTGAACTAAAACTGCAGCCCTTCCTGAATGGGAGGCTTCCTCTTGCTGCAGGAAGAGCCTGGTGCTTGCTGTGGTAAGGGGACTCACGCCCCTGATGTACACCTGAGGAGAGGGGCTGGGAGGAAGGGCACCCAAGAGTGAGTAGCTGTCTAGCTCCTAGTGCATTAACTGGAGATATTTTTAGTTTCCTTCTGTTAAATATTTAAACAAAGTTCACAGAAAAAAGGGAATTGTTGGCTAATGTGCCCTGCCCTTCCCTCCAGGGCAAGATCAGTCTCTGGAGGGATCCTGAGATGAAGATGAGGAGAAAAGAGTAGCTATTCTCAGCATTTCTTTGTACTTTGCTCCTGAACCTCTAAGCCTTGGAGGGGACTCAGTATTAAAATGCAGTTCTGCAGAGAGGCAGCAGAACGGAGCAAGTTTCTTCTGAAGCCAGAGGCTGGCGAGATCTTGGCCATCTGGATTATGATCACAATGCCATGGAAGATCATGTTGGGCAACACAAATCCGTCTCAGAATTTCTTTTGGACTTTGGAAAGGGAGGGAATTCCAAGTGTTGAGGACCTCCTTCTGTGAGTCCCCAGGCTAGAGGGCACACAAACCACCAGAGTGGTTTCAAGGTGGCCTGGAGTGCCTGGGGCCATGCCTGGGACTCACCATAGGGCAGTAGTTCCCTGGGGTGAAGAGCCTGCTCTGCTTGTGGCACGGCATTCTCAGTTACAGCTCTGGTCTTCAGGGGCTGTGGGCTGTTTTGCATCAGGCAGCAGGAGATGTGGATCTGGACAGTGACACCCCAGGAGTGGAGATCTTCTCCAGGTGCAGGTAGACCTCAGTCCCAGTCCCACGGGGGAGTGTGGTATGTTAGGGGTGCACGTGTAACTGCTAGCGCTCCTCCTAACATAGATGGCTCTACCGGCAGAAACGTGCCTGAGTGTAGGTGCACAGTGTCCTGGGTGACCCAGCTCACTGCGCTCTTCTTGTTTGTTGGGATGTCTTATAATGGAGACCTCGCTGTACTTCTCGGCTGAGATTGTGAGCTCCAGCAACAGCACCCCAGACCATGGATTCCCAGGGTCTAAAGCCTGGGAATAAGAAACCCTACAGAGCCAAATCCTGCATTGCTTTCACAGCTGGTAGTCTGAATTTCAGCCCTATGGAGCAGTTAACGGCTGTAACTGGAGCTGAGGGGAAGGAGTGAGCCCCAGCACTGGCCTCCTTGTGTACACATAATGCTGTGGAAGTGACACTCCGGACATCAGGTATAAGCCTCAGACCTGAGACACTGCTGTGCACAGGTCCTGCTGCCAACGGTGAAGAGCAAGTGACTCCCGGTGCCCCTACCCCAAAGGGGGCTCCAGGTGAGTGGAGGAATGAGGCAATGTCAGTCAGTCTCAGTCAACACATTCTGGTTTGCTAATCAGATCGTGGCCGGAGACTGAAAGTGTGTCCTGCACTAGCACACGCAGGCATGGTTGTGGAGGAGCTGGGAGAAACACAGAGGAGTCTCCCACAGCATGAATGCCATGAGATCAAAGGAAGGTTTCAGGTGGAAGTGCCAGCCAGTGAGGGCTGGACTCTACTGTGCATGGAGCGCTCATGTTCAAAACAGAGCATGGATGTCCCTGTGGCTTATTGACAAAGCATCAGATAAAGCATGTCTGGGGCACTCTGCAGTTAGCCACCGGCAGTGAGGATTGTGTCCTGGGCACAGACCCTGCTGCGTTGGAGGGCAAGTGTAACAAATGCCCTTCACTCAGCTCTGTATGTAGCTCCTGGTGTGGATGCTGAATAAACTGGTAGAGAGGAGGAGGGGACGCCAATGCTCTTACTACCTGGACGTTTAAAACCCAGTGTCCACGCACCTTACACCATTCAAGAGGCCTTTGTGTGCCAGAGCAGAGAGACTGGATTTCTGCACCAGTACCACACGGCATGGCTCTTGCTTTTAGATCTGTTTCCCAGGTCTAATTGTGATAAAAACGGACAGGGCTACTCCCAGGGTCCAAAGATGGACCTGTGTATCTTCAGTCTAGGTACAGAGCCTTCATCGCAGTGTTCCAGTCCTGTGATGCACAGATGACAGAGTGTGAATGACAAAGCTATTTCCCCAGGGCACTTCATTGAGCTCAGTTTGTGAATCTTGGTGCTTGAAAGCTGTGAGTAAGAATTACACTGCTCTTTGCTACTGCATATGGACCCCACTACTGATCCAGACCAGAGATCCCTGGGGCTGATCTACTAGGAGCTGCTCTCGTTGCATTTGCAGGGTGGAAGCACAAATCCTGCTGCTGTTCCCCAGCGTCAGGGACCCAGCTGTGCTTCCTCCCTCTTTGTAAGTCTCCCGCAGCACAGACCCACTGCTGCTGGGACGTGAGAGAGCAGATCTCAGTAGCCATGCCCCAAAGCATGTATCCCAGTTCACCAAGGGGGCTGGGAATTTACATCCTAACTAATGGCTAGGAGCAAAGCCTGCTGCACTCCTTGTCTGAGCAGGGAGCACAGGCTAAACCCTGAATGTGACACCCTGAGCTCCAGAGTCCAGACGCTACCACGCCCTGGGGAAGCCCTAGGATTCACTGCCGATAACTCCTTCTCCGTATCTGGGACTCTCGTATGCCATGGTCCCAAAGATAAATCCTATCCAAATATAAAAGCTGTCACAGGAATAAAAGAGCCGAGGTGCCAGCTGTGTGCAGGCAATACCTGCATTGTAGCTCCCTCGCATCAAATGCAATGCGTAACCTTCTGTCACAAAATGCTGAAGTTTGACAAATTCAAATGAGGAACAATACTATTAATAAAGAGGGTCACACACTAGCACAATTCACCTAGGCAGGTGGTGTATTCCCTACTGCCTGGAGCCTTCGCGTGGCTGTATTTCTAAAAGAGACACTACAGTTCAATCAGAAGTTATGGGCTTGATGCAGGAAATGAAATTGGTGAAATTCTCTGGCTTGTGCTCTGCTGTAGGTCAGACTCGATGATCAAAATGGTCCCTCTGGCCTTAAAATCTGAGAATCTCACAGCTTTCTCGATGCCTAGCTGAGATCAGCTCTGCCTGAAGAGCAATTGGATGAAGCTGAGCATACACAAGCCGTGTTAGTGAGAAGCGGGTAGAGTCTCCTTCCATCCGGGGATGGGAAAAGAGTTGCACCCGATTCTGTCTGGCTCGGCTGGCAGATGATGATCTATCTGTATTTTTGTAACATCTCGAGCTTGACTGCTGTGATACTGTGCCTCTAGGAATGAAGCCGTCTGCTCTCCGAGCGCTCCAGCTAGTTCAGAATGCAGCAGTCTGTTTGCTCGGCAACTCAAGCTGCCGGGAATGCATCACCATGCCCCTCTGCACCCCACATTGCCTCCCCTTTGAGCACAGAGTCCGGTTCAAGGTCTCCAAGCCAGCATTCAAAGCCCAGCATGGGACAGGCCCCAGTGACCTAAGCAATCAATCACTTCTCCTTATGCAGCGATGACCTCACATGACGGATATATTCCAGTGGAACAATGAAATTGCCAACCAGTTTGGGGAGAGGGGGATGGGATGGAAGAAGGGGAAAGAGGCTCATGACCCTGAGGAACAGAACATTCACAGGAGCTGGGCCAAGATTATGAAACTTACTGCCGGCTGAAATAATGCTCGCCATTAGCAACCCCGCAGCACCAAGAGCTTCATGCAAATCCTTTCTTCGCCCAGCTCCCCCATGGCAACGATCCCACTCGAAATAGTGATAAAAAAAATCAAAACAAACCTGAGGAGGACCCAACCCTCCTCGCAGAGAAAGAACGCTAGGTTGGCTGTCATTTTTTAACTC